AAAAAAAAAAAAAAAAAAAAAACTTAACTTACTGTCACATCTAAATCTATTAAGACCTACCAAGTCTTTTGAATGCTAAGTAACTGATTCCTAATCTAAACTCAAGGAAAAAGTATATCAATTATTTTCTACAGGCAGATTGCTCCCTTTATTTTGCTTTTAATCTAAAGGTCTGATATCCTCTTTTTTGATGCCAACCTTCTTCCCTTTTAGCTGTATCCCTCCTTATGCCTTGAGATCTCATTTTCTCCCCATTTCCCTTAACTCCTTCTCTGGGAGACCTAGAACCCAGGATGAGTCTATTAACTGATTCTTATCGGCTCCTCCTTCTCTCATGCCTGTTTATTCTTCTAGTACAACTTAAAAATCACATATAGATGTTTTAGGTTTCTAGAGCTATCACTCAGGGCCTCAAACTATCTCCAATGTCTTTCACATTCAATTTCTGGCACCCAAAAATGAGCAGACATTCAAGGAAACAACCAAAACCAAGGGGAGAAATTGACTTTAGAAACAGACCACTCAGGAGACCCAAATAAATGAATTATTAGAAAAAGATTTTAAAACAGGCTGGGCGTAGTGGCTCACGCCTGTAATCCAAGCACTCTGGATGCCAAGGCGGGTGGATCACCTGAGGTCGGGAGTTCAAGACCAGCCTGACCAACATGGTGAAACCCCATCTTAAAATATATAAATAAATAAATAAATAAAAGATTTTAAAACAACTGACAGGAATGACAATGACAAGTGGGAGATTTCTAGCAGAGAACTGAAAACTACAACAAAGAAACAGGGCCCAGAGCAGTGGCTCACGCCTGTAAAGGAAAAGAGAAAGGCAGTAATACAGAAAAAAATTGAAAAAACAAAAGCTAGAAATATCTCAAATCTGGCAAAAGACATAAGCTTAGAGATACAAAAGGTTCAGTGAACACCAAATACGATAAGCCAAAGAAAACCAAGCAGCAGCACATCATAAACAGCAAAAAAACAAAACACAAAGAAAAAAAAAATCTTAAAAGCATCCAGAAAAATAATGCATTTATTTTTTCAACAACAATTCAAATGACTACGGATTCCTCATGAGTAAACATGGAAGTCAGAAACAAGTGACGTGACATTTTTAAAGTACTGAAAGAACCAGCTAGCTCAGAATTCTATATTCAAGCCAGGTGAGGTGGCTAATGCCTGTAATACCAGCACTTTGGGAGGCCGAGGTGGGCAGTTCACCTGAGATCAGGAGTTCGATCAGCCTAGCCAACATGGTAAAACCCCATCGCTACTAAAAATACAAAAAAAAATTAGCTGGATGTGGTGGTGCACTCCTGTAGTACCAGCTACTGAGGAGGCTGAGGCAGGAGAATCGCTTGAACCTGGTAGGTGGAGGTTGCAATGAGCTGAGATCACATCATGCCACTGCACTCCAGCCTGGCAACAGACCAAGACTCTAACTCAAAAAAAAAAAAAAATACAGGTGGCAAATAAGCACATGAAAAGGTGCTCAACATCATTACTCATTAGAGAAATGCAAATTAAAACCATAAGAAACCACTACAGTTAATATCAAAAACAGCCTACTACATGATGATAGAAATCACAGCAGTGGTCAGTTTTAGAAAGGAAGGAGTGAGAGAGGGCACAAGGAGGCTCCTATGGAACTGGAAATGTCTTATTTTTTGGTCAGGTTGGTGAATAACACAAGGAGTTCATTTTGTACCACTTGGGCTCAGCTTTCTACATAAACTACACTTCAATTAAGAAGTTCAGGCCAAGCTGGGCGCGGTGGCTCACGCCTGTAATCCCAGCACTTTGGGAGGCCGAGGCGGGTGGATCACGAGGTCAAGAGATCGAGACCATCCTGGTCAACACGGTGAAACCCCGTCTCTACTAAAA